GAATATATAGACATTTATGTGAAAATATAGATTTTCACAAATGATTATGACGAGATATATTACTTTGTGGTGGACATCTTTTTGCATATTTGAATAGTCTGGCATTATGAAATGTGCCTGCTAGATGACCCCTGGATGAGGATCATTAAATAGTAAAATTTACATGATAATCCTTGAAGGATTCAAAAATATGCCAGGAGCATATATAAGAAAATCTTTCAGTATATAAAATATTATGAAGATTACAATAATTTCAGTATGTATGATCCATTTTATAGTTTTGAATCAAAATATATGAAATTCCTTAAAGAATTTCACTTGCCAGAAGTATACAATTTAAGTTCTTGAGCACAATGATTAAGTTAAATAAGTTGCCAGAAGCAATCAGGGCGTATATGGTATAACTGACTAAGTAAATATCGGTTGAAGAAATGATATAAAAATGATCCAATTTGCCCATGTATTTTTATGAAAAGATCTGAAAGTGAGTTTGCTATAATTGTTGATGATATTATTAGAACTCCTGAAGAGCTTACAAAAGCTATGGATTGCTTAAAGAAAGAATTTGAAATGAAAGGCTTGAAAAGAACAAAGTTTTGCTTCGGATTGAAATTGAATACTTGAAAATGAAGATTTTTGTGTATCAAATAATTGATACAAGAAAAGCCTTAAAGTATTTTTATATGGATAAATCATATCCATTATATACTTTGATAGTTGTGAGATTTGTGGAAGTGAATAAAGAACTTTATATATTTTGAGAAGGTAATGAAGAACTACTTGGTCCAGAAGTACCAAATCATAGATCCAGAAGTACTATATCATATCTTATCAGTCATGCATGACATCACATATCATTTGCTGTTAACTTACTGGTAAGATATAATACCAAAGACATTGGAATAGAATTCTAGATTCTTTTCTGATTCACATGCTGGTAATTCCAAATGGAGTATTTATCTCACAATATCCAAAAGATGGTGAAAGATATATCCAGCAAATTCATTCAAATAAAAATCTAGCAGATTTGTTCACCAAGTCACTCTCTATTACAATATTTGAAAAGTTTGTTCATGATATCGAATGTCACAGACTCAAGGATATCAATTGATGTTATCAGAGGGGGAGTTAATAAACGCTGTACTCTTTTTTCCTTGTCTATGGTTTTTCCCATTGGGTTTTCCTAGCAAGGTTTTTAATGAAGCAGCATCAAATAGTGTATCAGTGAATGTGTACTCTTTTTCTTCTACTAGGTTTTTATCCCACAGGGTTTTTCCTAGTTGAAGTTTTTTAACGAGGCACATATATTGTATAATGGACATCCAAGGGGGAGTGTTATGAATATTATAACATGTGGATGTCCATCTTCTCTTCTTCCTCTTCCTCTTCCTCTCAACTTCATCATCAACTCCTACTACTTCCACTAGGCATTAATCTTCCACTACTCCATTATCTTTCCACTATGCCTTTAATCTTGTAACTCCCCCCACTCATATTCATGTGGTTTATTATCCACTATCTATCATTTAAGTACCAATGTAATTTATGTGTAAGACTATGCCTATAAATAAGGCATGCCATTGTATTGTGAAGCAAGTGAAGCAAGTGAAGGAATACAATATCATTCTCTCATTTTCTTGTCTACTTCTCTTCTCCAATCTACTTTCATTATTGGTTAATTTCATAACATATAAAAAATAAAAGATATTAATGTCGTGTATTTATGATTTAAATGAATTTTTACATTTTAGAACAAGACCTAGCAATTTACAATTCAACCAAAAAATGAATTTGATAAGAACCTCATATTGAGTATAACAAGTAACAACAACAATATTTTTACCGATAAAATTCTTTTTAATGTTGTAACATTAAATTATTTATATGTGTTCCAAAAAAAAATTATTATTTCAAACCCATCCGGCCTGGGAAATCGATTGCTATGTTTTTGCTTTAGATCAGCGTGCCCAAGACAGCATCATAGGATTTAAATCATATCTGATGACTATTTAGGAAAAGGATCTTATTGATGATGTGAACAATGAAAGTACAAAGTACAAACACATGAAATTAATTTTTTTGAGTTAAATTTATGGTAAAAGTTTTCACGCAAAAAAAACTGGACACTCAAAAATTATTTTGGATACAAATTTATTCTAAAAATTTAAAAGTATAGCAATATTCAATATTCTTATTTTAATTTTTAACGTTAATTTTTAAGAATAGAAATAAATGTTCCTATGATTTTAAATTTTCGAGACATGTTTGTATTTTAAAAATTTTTTAGGTATTCAACATTCGTGAGAAAAAACTTCTTAAATAAATTTGCATATTAACTTATTTTTTAAACAAAATTTGGGAGATTCTTTTTTTTTTCCCCTCCTAAAAGGGGGAATTCTATTGGTCACTTATTTTTTATAAAATTTTTAGGGCTTTCTGCCCCAACAGGGATGGAAATAAATATAATTTATTTTACAAAATCAATATTATTTTGTAAATATGGATAAAACGTCAAAAAATAGAGATCACACGCGCGCGCGCACAAATTAGAATACAGGGTGCTTGAGTATAAATCGGTAAATCCACCCTAGTGGGAAGGCACTTTTTAGAAGCAAATCTTGATTGAAATCAAATGATAAAAACAATATGAAAAGCGAAAAATTAGAAGCATTATTTATTGTGATAATCAAATTTAAATTTGAATAAGTTGAATATTAATTTAGACCATTCTTCTTAATTCTTACGTTTTCGTCATGCAAATGATGCAAGCCAATTTAAATACTAATTAAGTTAATTGGTCTTAAGTCAAATTCAAACATTTCAACCTTGAATCTTGACTGTGTATAATAAATTAAAATTGCTTTCATTTTACGTTTAAATATTTATCCACCCTTGAATTGGGCAACGATGCCTTATATTTTAATTATTAGACGAATAATTTGGCAAATTTAAATAGGTAGAAAAATAACATTTATAAAAAGTGATGGTTGTATATGAATTTGATTTGAAGTCTCTGAATTAAAGGGAAATGAGTGCAAAATGATTGTATTAGACTGTTACTTTAGATAATTCAATTTTATTGACCTAATAACTTAATTACTTGATTATTAAATTTTCTTCTTTTTTTTAAGGTGCACGTTGACATTGAAAATTAATTAAATTTGAAATAATAAATTGGGGGCACAAAATGGCGGGTCCTTTGTTACTCTTCGTGCAGAAATTTGATCACTGCAAAGTGGAAGCTGCATTGTCAAGCAAATCCACAAAAAAGAATTTAAAAAAGATTTAATTTTTTTTCATTTTTTTCGTAAAATTTACAAAAGAGTACCCCCAAATTAAGAATATTTGTATTAAAAGATTTTATGTATTAAAATATTCAAATATTAAAAAAAAATAGAATGCAAGCCTCTGAGCTCAAACAAAGTTTATAGTTATTGACATATTTCATGACGTATGAATAAATTAAGGTGGTTTATATCATATATTGATGCTTCAAAATCTTCACATCCTTATATTTTTGAAATTAATTTTAAAGTTTAAAGCCATTTTCTTTCATTAAAATTCTTCTTATTTCCTTCCCCAACCCTACCCAACAAAGTATGGCATCTTTTTTCATTGCGGTCATTGATGTTTAAATTCCATTCTTTTTATTATATTATATTATATTATATTAAAATTATGTGTACACATAATATTAATTTCTTTGGTAAAATCAGATGATTAAAATATAATTTATTTATTTATTTATTTTAATTTACTTTCAATTTAAAAATTCGCGTATATTTAAACAAAATTAACTATATCAATGCGCAATATTTTGCCATACATATAAGCACCCTTAAAAGATTGAATCTCCAATTTTACATATAAGTCATCAATACTTACACCTCTCTCTCACACCCATTTAAAAAAATTAATTAAATATAATATAAATTATTAAATTTCAATCAAAACATAATTTTTTTTTCAGATTTCCCCTAATATAAGAAAAAGTAAATTTAATAATCTGAACAATTTAAATAAGTCTTATATTTCATATTAATAATTTTTTCAATAGCTGATTTATATTTTTTTTTTGGTAACAAAAAGTTTATGTGAGTTAGGTCCCAAGGACTCACCAGGACCAGGACATGCCTTCGAGCTCAAATAACGTTTACAGAGGTGTTTATAGATCGTCTACTAACAAGATTCTCATATTGGCAGCAGGATTCAAACTCATGACATTGTGGGTTATAGCTGATTTATATTTGAGATAAAGTATTTTAATTAGACCATTCCACAATGGGCCTCACTTTACTAAAGAAACTAATGGGAATCAAATCACTAACATAGAATTCTAACCTAAGATGATACAACACCTAAATAGGATTTTTTTTTTAACACCTTGCCAACACCCAACCAGTTGATGGTTTCTTTTTCTTTTAAAATCATAATAAGATGTAATTCCTGAAAAATTTCACAACAACAGAGTAACATGCAATAACAGATTTTGATGTAAAAAATTAGTCTGTACTGATAGAATTGGAAATGTGGATTGGTTTCTAATGACTTGCCAGCCAAGTATCAGAACTAAAATAATTCGCACTCTATATAGATTACCAAAATGGCAATCTAAACTTATCACAAGTTGTAAATTTAACTCATATTTTCAACTCTATGTGCTCTTCACCTGGTGTGAGATTTTTTTTTTCATTAACTTTTTTTTTCTTGAGGCTTTATAGGGGTTTTTTCTGTTGTTATTGTTATTATTAGCTATGCTTGTAAGACCAATCTAAGCAAACAATGGAAGCCAGGAGGTGGGCTCATCAAAGTTTTCTTTCACAAAAAAAGAAAAAGAAAAAGAAAAAAGTATTGGTTTATCATTTTCGCAATTTTGCATGAGTGAGAACCAAGTCAGAACTTTAACTCGTAAAAGGGCGACATCTAAACAAACCCTTACATCAGCGTCGTCATCACATAGTGATTCTCTGTTCATTTTCATGCCTCCATTTCCCACTTTCACCTACTCCCCCCATTCTTCTTCGCCTTTATCACCTCTCTCCTCCTCCTCTCTCTCCCCTTCCTTTTACCTCAAATCATTTCACTTGCATTCATCTCCAAGCTTCTTCCCCTTCTAAAAATCCTGATTCCATGGTTTGATCCGCCTAACTTCTTCTAGAATCTTCATCATCATCCTCCTCCTCCTCTACACTGTTTATATACTCCTTCTCTTTCTGCTTTCCTTCTGGTTCCAAGCTTTCTGTTCTTATTGGACCAGAAATCTGGGATAATCGTCCTCCATGCTTGATCATCGACAAACTGTACATTCCTGAAACTTTGACTCTGTTTAGGAACTTTGTTCTGAATCATACCCGTTACCTTCCGGCTAGAATGGATTCTTTTGGTCAGAGTTGTCGCCAGACCACCAACTTCAGGTATAATCCAAATTCCGGCGCGATTAGCCACGGTGGTGATGACGACGGGGCTGAGTTTTCCGGGATTCTGGAAATCTACGTTCATCATGCGAGGAATATTCACAATATATGCATCTACGAGAACCAGGACGTGTACGCGAAATTCTCTCTCACGTACAACCCAGACGAGACCCTCTCGACGAGGATCGTCAATGGAGGCGGGAAAAACCCGACGTTCGATGAGAATCTGAGGATGGAGATTACCCAGAACGATGCCGTTTTGAAATGCGAGATTTGGATGTTCAGTAGGCTGAGGAACTACATGGAGGATCAGCTTCTGGGTTTTGCTTTGGTCCCAATTTCTCAGGTTGCGGGAAAAGGAAAAGTCACTCAAGAGTATAGCCTTTCTTCTACCGATCTCTTTCATTCTCCTGCTGGAACTGTTAAATTGACTCTGTGTTTGAATTTGGGCCCATCTCTTCAAATTAATTCATCTGTTAACAATTCTGTATCAGAATCAGTTAATTCTAATACCAACTGTTCATCCATATCTTCAGAAGTTGTGTTGCTTGATAGAAAAATCTCAGAGGTTATGTTAGACCCGGTTGAGTTTTCCAGGATTGAGTTTCCTGATATTAGTGTTGTGAGGGAGAACCAACAAATGGTATCTGAGTACTTCAATTTAAAATCTCATGGCTCTTCTTCTTCTGCTGTTTCTGCTTCTGCTTCAGCTTCAAGGCCTAATTCTGGAGGACTTTTGCCATTTCTTCGCCTTTCTGCGTCTCCTCAGGTTGATGACTATGAAATGACTGTGAATTCCCCAGATGGGAATCATGGAGACTCCATTTCTCCAAATGGAAGCATCCAGAACTCTGGGTTCTTCAGCTCCACCACTACAACTTTAAGTGATGATAGAAACTCTGCAGATTCTTCCATTGAGAAAAAGAGTCATAATATTAGCGGTGGTGAATCATCAAACTCTGCTAATATTGTAATCCCAAGTGATGCTAATCATCATCAGAATTCTGGTTCTTCTTGTGGTCCTGACACCCCCACTTCCAAGAAAGAAAGTGATCAAGCCAGAGATGAGAAAGAGGGAAAATTTTCAGCCACAAAGGAAAATGAGAGCAATAACAATAACAAGGATAGGAACATTGAAGCTGCAAAATTTGGTCAAGTTTTCTCAGCTCCATTAGGGAACATCAATCTTGAGGCTGAGCAATCTGCCATGCAACAACAGATAGTAGACATGTACATGAGGAGCATGCAACAATTCACTGAGTCTCTGGCAAAAATGAAGCTCCCAATGGATCTCAATACACCAGACAGAGAAGATTGTGGTGATGTGATTCAAAATCATAGCAGCAGCAACGGCAGCAGTAAATTAGAAATTGACAAGAAAAATGATCGATCTCGCGTGTTTTATGGAAGCCGTGCATTCTTCTAATCACCCTTCTTGATGCTGGCAACACCAAGGAAGATCAGTTTAATTTGGTGTAACTTTTCTGATATATTTATTATTCAGATCAAACTGTTTTTTTTTTTTTTTTCATTAAGCAGTCTCTTATGTTGGTGACTATTCTATAATCTTCTAGTTTAGCTGGTTTTTTCATTCCTCACCATTTGACTTGGCTGTAAATGGGTTCATGACTAGTCCTCTGTCTCTGTAGTACTTTTTTTTTCTCTAAAGTGCTTTTGAAGAGATGTTCATTTCTGTGGATTTCTTTGTGATTGCTTTCTGCAGAATTGAATTGTAAGGAAAGTTTCTGGTGTTGTGTCATACAGCTATAGGTGCCTAAAGTTGGAAACTAGTCATTCTTATGCTTCAAGCATGATTATTATTGCAATGCATATTGAGCTTTATTATCATTACTTTCACTATATATGTGCATGTTTAGGATAGCAGTGAAAATCCTTTATGAACATGTTTCACGTAAACCGAGACAAAATTTATTTCACATACTTGCTTTGTATTCTGTAAATCACTATTAAAAAGCTACTTATAAGCTATTCTAAGCAGGCCCTATATATATGTGTATATATTTATTCTTTTATTTTTTTTATAGTTAAATGACATTGAACCCATTAATCTTCTGATCATACGTAAATAATGTTTGGAACATTAGAATTTAACGAGCAACTCTGCTTAAATTTCTGACTTTGGACATACAATTCATTTATTGCTAGTTCATTATTTCATTAATAGAGTGTGATCATCCAAACATGGACAATCATTTATATGAAATAAAGTAACTTTTTTGATAAATAAAATAAAGGAACTTTAACTTGGTCCTAAATGTATAAACTGTCCTAATCTGTCTCAATCTGCAATTTATTTGAGATTATTAGCACCATCTCAAGTCACACACACACACACACATATATCTTTATAAAATCTCAAGTGCTATTTTTTACTTTGAAACTTCCATTGGATGAGAGTGGGAAGGATTTGATTTTATATATGTGCGTATATATGGAAAAAAATGTTTATGTAATGATTGATATTCCTTCTTAGGGCATTATCTTGTTGGATCCATTAGAAAAATCTGCATATTGGGTGGCCATCTCTTAGCAAACTTTATTTCCCACTCATATTTTTTTCTCATAGAATTTTTTAACATAAAAATATTTCTCAACTTTTTAGAGTATTGCCAATGAGAGAACATACTTTTTTTAAAAAAATAAAAAGTCAATTATAATAATATGACAAAAAATAAAAGTCCAAATAAATAATGATACATAAAACAACACCTACTAGATACCAACTTGTAAACAACTACTAACCAACGATTAAATTAAAATCTCCGACATCAACTTGAGGGATTTAAGGATAAAAATGCCAACTTCTAGTAGTAGGAGTAAAATCATGGATATAGCTAATACTCATCCGATTTTTAATATAAGACCCATTTAACTAATTTGATTAGATTAAGGAAGTTAAGTAAGTTAGTTAATTATAAAAAAAGTGACATGTTTTTCCTCAAACATCATAATCATCCTTCTTAATACCCCCTCCTCTTCTACTTGATTATGATTGAGAGAGTATTATAAGGATAATTTAGAGAAAATTGATAAATATGATAAATGGGTCTTATATTTAGGATCAAAACTAACTCAAGAATTGGATCCTATATTAAGGAATGGAGGAGTATTTATTTACAACTCAATAATATTAAGAAACCAATTTAGATATTAATCCATTTGTATTATTTTTGGGAGAATATTATTTTTTGATAATCATATGAAGTGTTGGGTAATCTAAATAGAGTGGGATTAGAGATATTGATGTGAAATTCTGAGGTGGTAACTAGTATTCCCTCCGGTCCTAAATATAAGACTCATTTTATAATGTAATTTACATTATAAAATGAGTCTTATATTTAGGACCGGAGGAGTAATACTTTTTCTTCATTCATATATATATATATATATATATATATATGACCTTAAGTGGATCATTGTTAGGATAATGAAGCTAAGCTTCAAATCATGAAAATAAAATGTTGTTGGTAATCCATCAAGGGAGTGATATGTGTGAATTGATGGTGTTTTTATGAGGAAAAGTGGTCCCATGATGCAATGATCAAAGATTGAAACTTTTGATTACATTGGAATTGTGGTGGGAATGGTGGGGGCAGATTGGAGCCATTTTTGTCAACATAAGGTGCACCACATTCTTAAAGAGATAATAGGCAAGTAGTACTTCAATCAAACAAGCAAAGAAATGCAAGCTTATTGGGAATCCAATGCCCATGTAAAAAGAAAAAAAATGAAAATGATTGAAAGAAAATAATAAACACATACCCATATGAACTAAAATATAATTAAAATAAATTAGGTTTTCTATTTTTTTTGAGGTTGTTCAAACATTCACAGAAAGTCTGTTTAAAACATCCATAAAAAAAAAGTAGATCAGACAGTATGATTTTTTTTTAATACAATAAAGTCTTTTAAACAATTTAGTAAAGAAAAACATTTAAAAAACACTACTCAGTATTCAGTAAAGGTATTGAATAAAACTTTTTGGTTAATAATATATCAAAAGATTTTGCTATTAATATATTATAATATAATGACACCACATGATTTAATATGACTCAATTAGTAGGATAAAGTTTGTTATTATTGTTGTTGTTATATATGGGTGTTTAATATTAAAAAAAATTATATCACTATCTCCTAAAATCAACCCAAAGAGAATGATAGATTTATTTCTCATGGCATTTGAAATAAATTGCAATTACATTTACTGAAAAAATATATTTTATATTTATTAACAATATAAACATGATTTGGTAAAAAAAAACATGATGGATTTCTAAAGTTAAAGAAATATAAAATAAATATGTAGTAAGTTTTACAGTGCGATTTATATATCAAATTTCATATAATGCATAAAGAAATGTGTAATAATTAAAAACTAAGTATAGAAAACATATGAATGTTCATAAAATTATGAAGACTAACAAAATTTAAATACAATATTGCGTTGCCCCAAAAGTATGTGTTTACAATGAGACAGCAATAACTATAAATAAATGAGTAGAAAACACGTTGATCCGCGTCCGACACATACTGTCCCCAAGAAGCTTCAAACCGCATTAAAATAATTGTCTGATCTTTAATATAAGACTTATTTAACTAATTTGATTAGATTAATAAAATTAAATAAGTTAGTTAATTATAAGAAATGTGACATGTTTTTTCTAAAATACCATAATCATCTTACTTAATACCCCATCTTCCTCTTCTATTTGATTATAGTTGAGAAAGTATCTATCGGGGTAATTTAGAGAAAACAGATAAATATGAAAAATGAGTCTTATATTTAGAACAAAAACTAACTCAATAATTGAGTCCTATATTAAGGACTAGAGGAGTATTATACTTTTTGTTTTAAATATAAAATTTATTTTATAATATAAATTATACTATAAAATGAGTCTTATATTTAGAATGAGAGAAATATATTTTATCACATTATTAATGCATTCATTTGGATTTTGGAGTTTGATTTTTTAATTTTCATGACTAAATTGCAAGGCCTTTTTTAGTGAAAATTTGGGACTAAACCAACAAAGCTAATTAAGGTGCCTAAGATATTTAAGCAATTATAAGAAAAAATTATTTGCTGGCAACAAAAAAAAATAAAAAATTATGTATATGCAATCACATCAAGCATGAATGTTATAAAAGAAAATAAAAATTGTAGGAACTAAAAAGCAATGTGCTGCAGTAAGTGTAAACTGAAGGATGAAATCATACATGTCTGTGGGAAAGGGGAACAATCAAGCAAATGACACAAAAGTTGCACTTCCACTTTCTTAAAGATCAAGCAAAGGCATTTTGATTTGTGTTTGTCCACACCCACTTTATGAAATTGGTAATGTTGACTAATATTTTGTTATTTTCTTACCTTTTTTTAATTTCATGCATCTTATTTTTTTAAAATTCTTTTCAAGCTTCAAATAATGGCCTTTCCTACCTACATTCTTGTATTACTTAGAAAACTTGTTTTAGGTTTTTTTTTAATATGTGATGTTTAGAGTAATCTATGGATCTAGATTTAAGTATTGTCAATAATGGTAACTTCTTTTACTATAAATTTAACATATGCATGGTTCAAACCAAGTTTACCCCATGAAAAGGATTAGAAAATTTTTTTAAAAAAATATGAAAAATAATTTTATTCATATAGAAATATTGTTACCACCTTTCAACTTTCAAGATAGACACTTCTAAAGTAGTTAACCGTTTCCAACCAACCAAAAAAAAAAAGGTTAACAGTTTATATTTGTAATTTTGTATAATAAAATCAGAACAGTGTGAAGCTTTTATTTCATTATACTAAAAAATCTTGTCGACCTTTTACTTTTTATATTGTGTGAAAAATAATATAATGGAAAAAGTCAAAGAGAGATGGGGGGGAGTCGAATGTTTTGTTTTACTGGGCCGAAGTAAATAAGCGCAGAAATTAAATGGGCTAAGAATGAAATTGGGCTCTCATGATAAATCTATTCTTCCGGATTTTTACCATTAAACTTTAAATAATATTTTCTAAAATAAAAAATTAAATAATTCAAAAAATTGTATGTACAAGTGGACTTAGATTTTTATAAGAAAACCTAGACACTTAGCCCTATATACTTAATTAAACTCACTTCCAATTAAATTAGTACAAGTGGACCTAGATTTTTATAAGAAATAAAAATATTAATAACAAAAGTTTGTTAGAATGTAAATTATGAATTAAAAAAAATATACATGTTATTGCGGGATTAAAAACAGTTACTGAAAATATACAAGGCTAAGATTTTTCCAAAAACTCACAATTTTAGTGTTGTATAACATCTTGAGATATGTCAGTATAATCATGAAAGTTAAGTACAAAAAAAAAAAAAGGGTATGGCCGCAAGTGAAAAAATAGCACCCTTCTCCAAAAGTGAAAATGCCTCACATAACTATGCTACTTATTTCAAGAGCTCGTTATCCAAAAAAAAAAAAAAACAAACAGAAATATATCAGAAACTTCCAAACTAGGTATACTTGTCGCAATTTTCACGTCAAACTAAGGTAACATAACAAGTTATTTGATGCCACTGCTAGTTTTGTAATGACAAAATAGTTAGTTTATATAAGAAAAAATATTTTTATTTTTTTTAATAAAGGACAAATGCTATTAATAATCAAACAATAGTTTATATACAATTAAAGGATGCAACTAGAAAGAAAAGCATATCTAAACCTAAGAACATTGGTAGAGAAATACAAAAATAATTGACTGAGATTAAAGAACAAAGAAATCTACGAACATCTTGCACCACGACATGAGTAAATT